TGTTTGATTGGGGTGTTTCCCACCACTGAGGAAGAAAGTACAGAGAATCGGAACTGCCTTGTTTTGCAAGCTCAAAGTAAGCGTTAGATCATTGTGTTCATAGTTTTGCTCCCTCCAGAATGTTTTCTACCACGGTTTGTGGAAAAATGCAATGACTGTTCTCATGGGAGATAATACTACAGGATATTAGATCTTTTTGACAAAGTGTTTTTCCCCTGATGTTCAGTTCATACTTTCCTTTATTGAATTCCATCCCATTACTCTTGCTTTTAACCATTTGTATCAGCTTAATTCACTTTCTTCCTTAATGTTTGTGTCTTCATAGATGACTACATCTCTCTTCTGTCATCACTGATCCAGCCTGCACATATTTATTTGCTAGAGTACTTTCAATCTTTCCCATAAGCAATTTTTCTTACCACCTGTGCAAGAGCTGACAATCTAGCCTGCAGGTGCAGAGAACTGGGAGAGTTCTGTGCTGACAGGGCAAGTGTTGGCCTATCGCTTAAACACTAAAGTCTACAGACAGGCTGAGGGAGAGAAAATGAGAGCTGGGGTTCACCCCAAGCCATAGCACAATATATGTCCTGTCTTCCACGATTTTTTGTTTTATCTCTTCACGTAACTTCTTCCAGTTTGTTGATACACTTTTAGTTACATATTTGGAAGTATGTGAATGATTCCAGCAGCTTAATGTAGACTCTCTCCAGTCCTATATGAAGAAGAACTAGCAGTTTGACTGGAAGGATCTTACTGTGCAAATTATGGCCCCAGATTGACAGCTTATTTCAGCAAATATTTAAGTCCTATTAGTGTTGATAAGGCTATTCAGCTATCTGAAATTAAGCCCATAGGAATCTGTATTGTTGATTTGGGAATAACATACACTTTGGGGTCAAAATAGGGAATAATTTCTGATTAGTGACTTAGATTTTACATTTATTAATGACTGAAGCAATTGCAGCATGCCTGTCTCTTCACGTTTAGGGCCTTCTGATGACTTGGATAAGGGATGTTGCACCAGTCCGTATCCAGATTCATCATTTTTTGGTTTAGTTGCTATTTTATACAAACAATAGATCCCATGACCTATTTAGATCATATATGGCATATGCTGGATATTGAATCAGAGAAGCAGTGATATTATGGTTGCAAGTTTCTGTCCATAGCATCTTTCCATTAGTTCACTATCACAAGCAACTGCTTATGAAGCAAATGACCAGTAAGAATTCACTTTCCCAACCCTCCCCATAGCTGATTGGGGCTAATCGAAAGAAAATGGTCACAAATTAAGTCTAGACTATTTTGTATTCTGTTTAAAGATACAAGCAATAAGGAAGAAGGAGAGCCTTTTTTAGATTGAAACGTTGGTTATTATTAGGCAAAAATGTCCTGATTGTTTTGACAACAGAATAGCAGTCACATCTTTCAGCACATTGTGGGAGCTCCACAAGTAATCACAGGAGGGTGGGAAACGGTATACGTGAAGATATTTTGCCAGATGACTCAAAGAGCTGTACGTAGTGATTTATGAAAAACCTCACGTTGGTTCCTGACAGAGGATGTATCTCCTAGGGCTAGTTTATACTTGATTCCCTTGCTAAACTCAAGTTGTAACCAGACATAATTGTTTTATGCTTTTCTCTAAAATAAGAGGGTCCAATTTTGGAGATGAAGCCTAAACTATATGAGGATTTTGAAGTATTGTAGTGATCAGACCAGGATATAGCAGAACTAAATACTTACAGTCTAATATGGAGAAAACAAAAAGCAAAACTTTTGGAGGAAGCAGGCATGGACCTACTGAGGGCTATCTCCACAGCAACATAAAAATGAACAGTTACATGTATTTCTTCCATTGCCAAGGGACTGTAGATATTATCCTCAAATAATTGCCTCATGCTCATTAGGAGCATAGTACAGGAAGAGGCCTCCTGGGTGAGTCAGGTCCCCCGCTGTTGCATTCACTACATGATATTACCCCTTCCATGAGCTGAGCAACCTCAATCCTAGAATTAGCTGTTTTGTTTGCCCCACTATTCTACCTGGAAATCTGCCTCAAAAATTCACTTCTCAGAAACCTTTTAATCTCCAGCCTAAATTTAATTCTGAACTGTTTATTCTTGTGCCAACATTATCCTGTACCTAAGCAGCCCTTCTCCTTTCCTGGTGTTCCTTGTGAGTATGCGTAGGGACTAGTTGTATCTTCTCTCAGACTTTATTTCATTTGGATCGTTACAAAAACAATCCAGTCTTTCTGTTTGATTTTGTTGTTCTTGACCACAGGTGATGAGATTTGAACACAGCATTCCTTAAGAAATCCCATTTCTTCTGCAGGAATGACTCAGGTGGTGTACCTGAGCCTTACCTCACCTCGCCACATTTCCCTTCCTTACAGATGCCAGTAGTTCATTGTGGATCATCCTGCAATCCATATGCACAGATGTTTCCAACTCAGGAGCACTTACTACCTACTAGAAGATACTGTTTTGTGATACAGTGTTTTGTTCTAGTATATTTAACCCTGTATCAAGCTCAGTTCCTCCTGTATGGTATTTTAATCTCTTAGCCAAGAATTGTAATAATGCTTGCAACTTGGTCCCTGCAACTTCCACTGAAGATTCTCCATTCAAGTATCAATGATCTTATGCAGAAACTAGCCTTTATACAAGTGGTTAGAGGTTTTTTTGTGTGTTGAGTGGTCTCATCGTTTAACAACATGGATTGTGTATTGATGGCTGAATTGCCATTTTCTTACTGTCATTCTGGCTTTTGCTGGCATACTTGCTTTCTTTGATGAAACTGAGCCAGCAGCTTTCATCGGCATACAACTGTTTTTCCTCTGCTACATCAGTTACATACTTCAGACCTCTTGATTCCTCCTAGTTTTTACGTCCTTTAAACAGATAGAAAAGTGTCATGGTGCTCTCATTCCATTATTCGAAGAAGTCTGGGCAAACGTTCTCTTCTTGGTCCTTTTTTTATATGTGGAGTTTGCCTTTTGCCTAGGAAGATGTATTTCCAGGGACTTCTAGGTAGACCCCTTCTTCTGTGTCATTCATGCAAAATTTTGTAAAGGTCAGATCCTGAACCAATGTTACTAGATTTGAACTGATGCAGGAGAAAATATTTCCCGTGAGGTAATGGTGGCTTGATGGCCCAGAGAAACACTGACAGGTAAGGGGAAAATAAGGTATTCTACTGACCAATTGAAAATCTTATAAATGACAGCACAATGTTGGTTTTCTTTTTTTTTTTTTCCCTTTTTCTTTTCCGTTCCCCTACCTTTCACTCCATTTATGATTTGATGAATAAGGTTTATAGTGAAAGACAGGCCAGTACATTCTGAAAAAGGTCATTTCTGTTTACTGGAAATAACTTTTAAATCCTAATGTTAAGGAAAACCTGGTATAAGCAGGGTTATTGAAAATGCTTATAAATGTTTTCTCCTGCCATCATTGAAGATGGGCTCACGTCTGTGTCTGTAGCTAGCTTCTATTAGTGGAGTAATTAAAGTATCTCTCACCCAGACTGCTTTGCATGCTGTTGATTTTAATTACTTTAGTCACTACAGTTACATACTCCAGTGAAATTATAGTTGGAATATATTATAGGGGAGCCTCTAATAAGATCTTTACATATCGTACTTGAAGTGCAAGTGCATAAAAAGACAGTCGAGAGGATTTAACATGTAGCATTTTCAAAGTGCCTCAGTCATTCTGGCAATGTTTTCTGTCTAACAGAACATCATTCTGCTTGGGTGCTTGGTTGTTAGTAAGTGAAGGATGGTGACTGCTGAGATATGACTTGCTTCTCCTCCTTAACTCCTTTTTGGAGCCCTGTCTTGCAAGGCACGGGGGTTCAGTAAATCATCAGTTTCTTTTAACCCTAAAGTTAGCAAGCTCTATGGTAATTTCATCTTTCTAATCAACTTTAATGACAAACTAAGGGATAATTTCTTAGAACAATAGTCAGATTAGCTGCTCTTCACTTTTACAGTGGGCCTACTCCAGTGCCTTGTGTTTACTACTCTGTGTATTTGCAATTTACTATAAGAAGCTATAATATTGCAGTGTGCAGAATTGTTTGCAGAATCCAGCCTTTAGTGGAGCTTGTTCCCTCCCCTCCCCCCTGCCTTCATTTACCTGTAATCTTTAACTTTTTAGTGCTGGAATGTTTCAGTCACTATATAATACATGTCTGCTGAGTAGCTTACTAGTGTGGAAGTCAATTCTTTGTAACAGTGGGAACAAATCTATAATTCAAGCAACAGTTAAGCAGCATTTCTCTCTACCTTTTGGATGCTTTGTGCCAATCTACTGGTAAAGAACATATAAATTAAGTTGAACTAATGAGTTGTCAGGTTTCTGGCTCCTGTGTTTGTCTCTGGAACAGCATAAAATGGCGAGATACAGTCTGGTGAATATTTTGGTCCAAGATTTCCTTAAGAGACAAAACACCTTATTTTACTGTTGATCTTTAACTACAATAAATCTAATGGTTTTTCGCTTGCAAGTCAAATCCATTATTACTTAAATAGCTCTCTTAACTTGTATAGCTGCCACATATTCATATTAGGCAACTGCTTCTGAGTGAAAACAAGAGGAGTGAATAAGATAGCCCTCAGCTATTACTTAGATGTTTTGTGAACTATGGAACAATTCATGTATTCCAGGTTACCTATACATTTATGTATGAAGTAATGAATTCTTTCATTATGTCTCTGTCATGTCACTCTTTGAATTAGTTCTCTAATGAACCCAGCTGCTGCTTAAATAGCAGTTCCAGTGGTCATTAACACAGGTTTTAAAGCCTGTATATTGGGTGGAAATTTAAAAATCCATGTGACGTGGGAGTACAAATCCCAAGATCAGAAAGTATTCTGAATTCACATAATAATTTTGCATATGCCATGCATACTCTGAAGTATTAATCAAACACTTTTCTTTCTGCAGACTTTTAAATTCCCAGATGTTTACTTTTTTCTTTCTTTTCAACAGATATAAGCTTACCAAAATCAGCAACAATATGTTACACAGCTGCATTGCTCAAAGCCAGAGCTGTCTCTGACAAGTAAGTGCATACGAACCACTGTCCAGCAAAATTCCTGATTTAACTCAAGATTTCTCTTAGCTGAGCCCACACCCTAACAATCTGCTGGGTTAGCAGGAGAATTTAGTCCTGCAGTAAATTCATAAAATTACTTTATATATAAAGAAAAATTTGCAGTGATCAAACATTGCATTTCGAATATTACAGAAGAAGAAAAGAAGAGAAATAGCATAATTTCAATTCTTGCTTCAGTTTTATGTATACTGTCTGGGTGAGCTTTGGCTTCCTAGATAGTATAATGAAGATGCAACTGAAGGGTGTTGTGTGGCTGAACCTCTTCAACTTTGTATAAACCTGACCACAAAAAGGTAATAAATAAATGTGGGTGCACTGGTAGCAATGTCATTTTACAAGTGCTGTCAGAAGACTGCTCATCTACTTAAATAGCGGCAGGTGGATTTAGCATTACTATGTCAGGGATTCTGAGAGGTAGATGACGTTCATATTTTTAGAGACACAAATATCTGCTCATTCCTGTTATGGTTTTCTCTTGGGTCTCAACCTTCCAAGGTGCTGAGCACATCTACTTGATGCCTGTGGACTTGAGAGCACTGGCCCACTCTGAAAGGGTGCTCAGCTCCTTGTGAGATGGAGCTCAAAAATCCCAATTCTGCTCTCAGATGCCTTCACACAAATCCCAGGCAGAGTTGTGTCTGTGCACCTGAGGGTCGAATGCCTCCCTAAAGTTGGAAAGCAAGTAGAGTGGAAAGCCATTTTCTTGACTGACATCCTGACAGTTTTTGCTTTTAAAGTGTATGTACACATCAAGATCTAAGTAATTTTCTTTCATTCTTTTTATCCTGTAGATCGCCAGTACCTACTGCAACATCTTTCCTCCCTACACAGCGACTCCAGCTTGGGAGGGCAGGGCTAAGGTTGTCACAGCTTTCCCTGTGGTGTCTGCCTGCCAAGTACAGCTCTGGAGTTAGCCGTGGGGTGTGAGGTGAGAAAGAGATTGCATGGTCTGGTTTTTCATTCACTGGGGCAGATGATTTGCCCACAGTTTGGGCATGCTACCCTCAATGGTGCTGTGGCCAGTAGACCACCCGCTACTGCTGCTGCATCGTGCTTCCATCCCAACCTGACCCAGGGGCATTGGGTTGGGAACCTCCCTAAAACCTCCCCAAAGCTGTTTTTAATAGAAACACTCCAACAATAATTTGGCATTGGTTTTTTTTTTTTTTTTTGCTTTGCTTTTTTCTGCAACTTCAGCTTTGAATATGCCCCTTAGTAAGGTACCTAGAGCAAATTTAGATTAGTGACAGGGAAAGGACTGTTTGAACTGACTTTCTGCCATGATTAGATGCAAACATGCTTTCCACTTCTGCTGGGATTTTCATTGGCCTTGATGTAATAGATCACTCAAAGTTTCCACTTGCTATGGAAGTTTGGAGAGCATAGGAAATTGACTCAGTTTGGTTACATGGGCCCATGTTCTAGATTCCTTTTCTGGCTTTTTCTTACTAGCATTTCTGACCTGATGTGTTTGTTTCTTTGCTTTTGTAGATTTTCTCCAGAGGCTGCCTCAAGGCGAGGGCTGAGTACTGCAGAGATGAATGCAGTAGAAGCTATTCACAGAGCAGTAGAATTTAATCCACATGTGCCAAAAGTGAGTACGGAGAAAGCATTGTGGTTCTCGTTTGGTATTTCACATTCAGTGTCTTCTACTCTGGACCATACAACTTGAAATTTTAGCTGAAGTGAGTCCTCTATGGGAGCAACAATTACACAGTGGATTGTGGCAGTCGACACCACCAAATGCTGTGGTGCAGGACAGAATCATACATAAGGACAGATTATTATTTACAAAATAGCCATTGAAGATCTTCTAGTTCAAAGTAGCATGGTTTATTTGTTTTGATGATTACATGTAAGAATATGTTTTTGGCATGCTATACAAAGGAACCTATGTTTGGAGTTCATGGTGTGCTTCATCTAAGTTGCATTAGTAATTCCTTATGCAGCACCCTGTCATTAAGTTCTGAGAATGCAAAGCTCAGAGATGAAGAAATGCTGAGAACTACAAAGTGAGAAAAGGGATTTATGTTCTAATTCCCTAATCCCCTCTCTAGATATGTATCTCAGCAGTAAGAATCTTCCCCTGGGGCTACTAAAGGCTAATGTATTTTATTATTTCATCACCTGATAACTCAGTATTGCAGTCTGTCAGTTCATTGTAAAGGCAAACTAGAGGCAGATGCTTTTTGGCCCTTAGAGATCTGCCTCTGAACCTCACCCCACAAACCTTTGGACCAGTATTGCCCTTAGAAAGTAAGCAGACTCCACTGGAGCGCAGAAGACTGGTGTGTGTGTTAATGGAGGGAACCTATTCATTAGGTACAGATGAACACCAAGTCTGGTCAAGATACACCCAAAACATCTCCCATATGTACACAGGAATTGCAGAAAGTTCATTCTCATGCATTGCAGGAGTTAAATATTTTCTCTGTGAGCTGTATCTGTTATGCCAACCACTAAATAGCATGGTTTAGCTATCTGAAAGTTAGGCTATTTGTTTAATAAAATCATCTAGACTTCCTCTACAGGCAGTGGAAAGAAGGAACTATCTTAGACATCTCTAGACAAATTTTCCCTCCGAGGTGCCTGTTTCTACATTGACTATGAAAGGAGCAACTATTTTCCAGTAAAAGCCTGATTTTTAGACAAGAAGATTTAGGTGAGATGAGTCGCTTTGTATTATTAGCTGATCTTCTATTTTTGTGCCAAGCTATAAAATGAAAATATTAAATGAACTTTGGTTCCAGGACTGCTTCTCTGGAACTCTGTTTACTTTCTTCCATCCCAATGGTTCTTGCAACAACACAGCCATTGATATTTCTCTTCTCCCTGGTTGCCTGTTTAACTCTATTCCAGTCCTGTTCTGGGTGAACCTTTCTGAATGTTTTACTGAAGCCCGGTTAGAGTATTCTGTCCTTGCTGTCCAAAAAATTAGCTGTCTTGCCAAGCAAAGATAACAGTTTAGCCTGTCATGAGCAATCCTTGGGAGCCTGTTCCATTTTCCTCACTTACCTCCATGCTTTTGATAATTGTTTCCATCAAAATCTTTTTTAACAGTTTGCATACTAATGATTCCATATTGACACATATTGTTTCCCTCCTCTTTAAATGAACGGCATTGCATTTACTTCTCTCATCACTGGATCACTTGATTCTGAGTGGGGATCTTTTTGGTTTAAGTCAGTTATGCTAGTCTGGCCATTTCTGGGACTGGTTCATTCACTGTTCAGGGACAGAGATCAGTGACTGCAGGGGCCTCCACTTCTATATGTGCTCCTGATGTCCATCCTGCTATTGTCTCCACGCTCTGCACTGCCATGAAACTGAGGCTGTCTTCATTTACTACCTTTTTGCTTGTTCTTTTTCTGTTCATACTTAAAAGCTTGCTCTTCTTTGGTTTGACTTCTTTTGCAAAATCTGCCTTACTGTCAGTTGTGGCAGTTGCTCCATAACCTCTGCACTTCCAGACCTCCAGGATCCTGCTTTTCTTGTAGATCAGTACTTTCATTCATCGCATGTGACCTCCATATCACTAGCCAGCTTCTGTTTAGGTGGCTCTTCAATACAAGGCTGGATCTCCTTTCTGACAAGTATCCCCACATGTGAAATGCAGACTGTGTGTTATTTTCAGTACTTTTGATTTAAAGAAATTCCAGTCCTCCTCCTCACTTCAGTTCCTGAGCTTTTCAGTCAGTTCACATTGTTAATTGATTCTCTCAGTTTTGCGAAGTCTGTAGTTTTGAAAACCTTTGTGAAACATACACATTATCAGGATAACAAGGTAGTAACGGGAGCAGACTCTGGGGTTTTTTTAGTTCATATTTTAACATTAAAACAGTGTAGCCTAATACAGATTAATACTCAGCACTGCTGATTTCACACTCATTCTTTCTGCTGTTAGCTAAAGTATATTAAGGTGGCAAAAATGTATTTTTGGTTATAATTTTATGCACAGTATGGGTATTACACCTCAATTTCCACTCAGTTATGATTGAAGTCCTATCCATTTTGTTCTTGGTGAAAGGGAGGTAAGTTTTAGCAAGCAGCATCACAAGAAATGTAACAGTGCCACAAAACTAATATGTCTTCAGAGCTTCTTTAGGATTTTAAACACTAATGAGTCTCTTGTTCAGACTGAGGAATAAATAAATTACAAAGGTGACAAATTATTTAAAGCATTTGCAAAGTTCCCAGCAGAAGCCTTGAAAGCAGGGAACTGCACTATTAAAGAGAAAAAAAATGGTTTATGGTTTGTTTCAAAAGGAGATTTTACCATTTTCAGTGCCAATCATTAAAATTTAGAATTATCACATTAAAGGATTATTGCTGGATATGCATTTTCAAAATATTTAACTGGAAATAGCAGATTTTTGCTAATGAGATTCTGAGATAAAGGGAATGCAAGGAACACACTCTGAACATGCTGAGAGATGCTGCTGAGCTGGATTTAGCAAGAAAGGGAGACTTGGTCTCCCATTGTGACCTAGTGCTGGTTTGTGTAAAACAACCATGGGATTCTTACAATGCTGCTGACTTTTCCCTGGGAGATTATGGCCAGATTGCAGTCCAGTGTTCCATAGTGAGTTGCAGAGGTCAGATGTGCTTCTTACACTTTCTTCTGAATGTAATCTAAAGATGTAGGAACCCTTTAAGAAGAAGCAGTTTAAAAGTCCCAGATTTCCATCTTTACATAGAGGTGAGAAACCCTGCAAAAACACCTACCTTCCACATAGAAACCAGTGTGTATGCATGGTTCTGGGAGTCTTCTCAGTATGCATGTCATGAAGATGTTGGCACCCACTTTCATTGATTCTAGATGACAACGCATCACCTTGGTTTTTATTTTCTGTCTGCACAAAAATGCCTTTTACAGAGACCTAATATGGCTTGACAGTCTTTCTTCAAGCAGCCACCCTTCCAGAAAATAACCTTCTTTTGACACAGATCTCTTCTTCCATTTTTGAGTACATTTCAATGACAGTTTAATTCCCAGAGATCAGTCCATTAAATCTCAGCCATAGCTGATATATTCTCATTGGTTTTGGATTATGCTGGAGTCAAGATGTGACACATGGAAGTACCAGAACTTGGTTTAAGTGAACAAAGGCAATACAGAGCTCAGTGCAGCCTGCCAGATCTCTCCAGGAAGCGGGGCAGCTGACCTGGCTGTGTGGTTTCTGGAAGCTGAGCTGTGCAGGGTAGGGCCAGCTCAGGTGTGTCAAATATGATCTCCTTCTTGACTGCGGTGAAAATGGAACCACTGTCAAACTGATCAAGATTTCTCATTCTGAAGATATCTTACCTGTAAAAAGGTTTCTGTGCTTGAAAGTGGCTAAATTTTTTAAGCTGTACCAGAAAAATATCTGATAAAAGATACTACCTCTATCTACGGTTTGTCTTGTTTATGTTACTGAAACAACTCAGCTCCAGCAAATTGCAGCTTTATACTTTGGCAGAGATTGCCTATGTAAAAAGAAAGCACTTCACCAGGCAGAGTGTTTTCACGGTTCTTTTTAGTAGAAGAAAAATGTAACCAGTAGCAGATTGAAGTCAGCAGTACAGCAGGAAAGAGAACAAAGCAAAGAGCTGTGAATTTCACTATGAGAAGAATCACAACAAATTGTATCACTTGTTTGTGAAGATGTGTCTGAATTTTTTTTCAACCATCTTTGTCTCAAATGAGATTCTATGGACTAGTGTCCTTTTATTTTAGAGTAGTGCCATGGTGTTTGGTCCCAAGGAAATGTGCTGACCCTGTCTGACAATGTGCTGCTCAAAAATTTAAGAGTTAAACAAAAAGGTTTTTATTGCCACTGAAGCAGTTGGGCTATCACTAGTTCCAGAGGGGTTTGTATAGAAAAAAAGAGTAGTACATCCTATGTCATGGAGAGTACATAATTTCTGGAGTGGGTGGGGAAAAAAGTGTATGTGTATACACACACACACACACGACTTCATCAGTATTATTTATATGTTGTGTTTGGAGCTTCCCCACTTATATGTAATGCAACTATCCCAAGCTAATGCTGATAAAGTACCACAGCTGTTTCTGGGGCATTCCTCAATTGTGGAACACCCTTTCTGAACTGATTTGCAAGGCTCCCTCCCTGCATTCAAACTCCTCCTGAAAAGCCACCTCTCTTTTCTGAGACACAAGCTATTGAGTAAAGCAAAGGGAAAAGAAAACAGGTGATGGTCGATATATCTAATTGTTAAAAGTAAGTCAAAGGTGTGCTCTGCACACAGTTGTATGGGTTTGCTATGTAAGCCAGGAGCTGAGTTGATTTAAAGAGAGTACCTGCTTGTCACGAATGAAGGTTTGTGAATCCTGCTGATTATGTCGATTCACTATGAATGAGTGACTTTACACAGTTTGATTTAGTAAAAGTTAGAGTTTACTTATAGCGAATTGCAGAATTTGGTTATAGTATTTTTAATAGCACTCAATCACCAATGATTAATAAAGTGATAGACAAAATTAATCAAAACAGTGACTTAGTTACAGATTCGAAGATGGCAAGGTTCACTCTATTACTACACAAAAGCACACATAAAAGAGAATAAATCACAAAAAGTTAAGCTGATTCATAA